AAAAAAAATTTTTGGGGAGTGAGTTAAACAGTTAAAAAGCCCACAGAACAAATGGATTTTTCAGTTTTAAAAAAAAGGGGGAAGGGGAGTTAGTAGAGGGAATGGAGGTTTTGTAGATGGGAAGAATTTTTTTTTGGGGTTTCAAAAGTCGAAAGAAGAAAGGGAGGCGGTAAATTTTATGTACTGGCCAGGGAGGTATATCATCTTTTTGGGTGAAGAAGGCAGGATGTGGTGTGGGGGGGGTGCATGAGGCACTTGTGGAATGAAAGGGGGGGTTTAAAACAGCTGGAACTGATGGGATCTGACAGAAATGTTAAAAACAGGGGGGGGGGAATAGTCTGGAGTGGTTGGTATTTTTTTTTTAATAAATTTTTGAAAGAGATGAAAAGGGACCTGGGGTTGGCAGAGAGAGTATAGTCCCTTTTATAAAGGAAGGGGGAATAAGAGATTGTAAAAAATTTAGAGAATAAGTTTATGGTATACCATGAAAAGGTCGGTAGGGTTATTACTGAAAGAAATTTGAGGTTTAAAACAGAATGTAGAATTCGGGAGCAAGAGGGTTTGGTGGGTAGGGGATGTGTAGATAAGTGTTTACATTGAAAAACTTAGGGGAACAGTATTTGATAAAGGTAGGGAAGTTTTATTGCATTTATGGTTTAGAAAAGGATATGATAGAGTGGATGGGGAGCAATGTGGGAGTGTTTCAGTATATATGGGGAAAAGGGTAAGTTACTAAATGCTGTAAAGAGTTTTATGAGGATATGAGGGCCCGGTTAGGGTTGTGAGAAAAGGGGGGGACTACTTCCCGGTTTTAAAATGGTCTTAGACAGGGATGTGTAATGTCACCCTGGGTTTTTTAATATATTTATAGATGGGGGTTTTAAAAGAAGTAATGTAGGGGGGTTCGGGGGGAGGGGTGGGATTAAATTATGGGGAATTAAATACAAAATGGGAAGTGACACAATTACTTTTTGCTGATGATACTGTGCTTATGGGAGATTCTAAAGAAAAATTGCAAAGGTTAGTGGACAAATTTGGGAATGTGTGTAAAGGTAGAAAGTTGAAAGTGAACATAGAAAAGAGTAAGGTGATGAGGGTATCAAATGATTTAGATAAAGAAAAATTGGATATCAAATTGGGGAGGAGAAGTATGGAAGAAGTGAATGTTTTCAGATATTTGGGAGTTGACGTGTCAGCGGATGGATTTATGAAGGATGAGGTTAATCATAGAATTGATGAAGGAAAAAAGGTGAGTGGTGCATTGAGGAATATGTGGAGGTAAAAAACATTATCTATGGAGGCAAAGAAGGGAATGTATGAAAGTAAAGTAGTACCAACACTCTTATATGGGTGTGAAGCTTGGGTTGTAAATGCAGCAGCAAGGAGATGGTTGGAGGCAGTGGAGATATCCTATCTAAGAGCAATGTGTGGTGTAAATATTATGCAGAAAATTTGGAGTGTGGAAATTAGGAGAAGGTGTGGAGTTAAAAGTATTAGTCAGAGGGCTGAAGAGGGTTTGTTGAGGTGGTTTGGTCATTTAGAGAGAATGGATCAAAGTAGAATGATATGGAGAGTGTATAAATCTGTAGGGGAGGAAGGCGGGGTAGGGGTCATCCTCGAAAAGGTTGGAAGGAGGGGGTAAAGGAGGTGTTGTGGGCAAGGGATTTGGAATTCCAGCAAGCGTGCGTGAGCGTGTTAGATAGGAGTGAATGGAGACAAATGGTATTTGGGACCTGACGATCTGTTGGAGTGTGAGCAGGGTAATATTTAGTGAAGGGATTCAGGGAAACCGGTTATTTTATATAACTGGACTTGAGTCCTGGAAATGGGAAGTACAATGCCTGCACTCTGAAGGAGGGGTTTGGGATATTGACAGTTTGGAGAGATATATTGTGTATTTTTATACATATATACTTCTAAACTGTTGTATTCTGGGCACCTCTGCAAAAACAGTGATTACGTGTGAGTGAGGTGAAAGTGTTGAATGATGATGAAAGTATTTTCTTTCTCTTTGGGAGACGGTCGACTTGTTAAAAAAAAAAAAAATCTGAAACCCTTACAACCATTAAGACAGTGAATGTGTGCACATTATGTTAATATGTTAGAATCCTCTATAATCATAATTAAGTCTATAATTCTTTAAACAATTAAACATGATAAAAGCCATATAGCATGTACTAATATGATATTCAGTTCTCTTGTATTCATTGTAGCAACTAAATTTATATTTACAACCACCTAAGAGGCTATATATGACCAGTTATTTTGTTATTGTCTTATTAATCTTAAGTTAGTCTTAAGTTTGCCTGAAATATGTGCATATTAAGGGAGTTTGAACATGTACACCTGAATGTTGTTCACCTCTGTACAATCATTATATCATGCAGAATTATTATCTTATCTTATACACTAAGATATACACCTTTGCATATGTACAATGAACACCACCACTCAGTATACATACTGAGACACTGTTTACAGTGTGCAAACACTCACTGCTCACTGTACATACACTGTCACCACTCACAGTGTACAATGTCACTGCTCACAGTGTACATACACTGTCACTGCTCACAGTGTACATACACTGTCACTGCTCACAGTGTACATACACTGTCACTGCTCACAGTGTACATACACTGTCACTGCTCACAGTGTACATACACTGTCACACTGCTCACAGTGTACATACACTGTCACTGCTCACAGTGTACATACACTGTCACTGCTCACAGTGTACATACACTGTCACACTGCTCACAGTGTACATACACTGTCACACTGCTCACAGTGTACAATGTCACTGCTCACAGTGTACATACACTGACACTGCTCACAGTGTACATACATGTCACACTGCTCACAGTGTACAATGTCATGCTCACAGTGTACAATGTCACTGCTCACAGTGTACATACACTGTCACCACTCACAGTGTACAATGTCACTGCTCACAGTGTACATACACTGTCACCACTCACAGTGTACATACACTGTCACCTGCTCACAGTGTACAATGTCACTGCTCACAGTGTACATACACTGTCACACTGCTCACAGTGTACAATGTCACTGCTCACAGTGTACATACACTGACACTGCTCACAGTGTACATACACTGTCACACTGCTCACAGTGTACAATGTCACTGCTCACAGTGTACATACACTGTCACCACTCACAGTGTACAATGCCACTGTCACACTGCTCACAGTGTACATACACTGACACTGCTCACAGTGTACACACACTGTTACACTGCTCACAGTGTACATACACTGTTACACTGCTCACAGTGTACAATGTCACTGCTCACAGTGTACATACACTGTCACTGCTCACAGTGTACACACACTGTTACACTGCTCACAGTGTACATACACTGTTACACTGCTCACAGTGTACATACACTGTTACACTGCTCACAGTGTACATACACTGACACTGCTCACAGTGTACATACACTGTCACACTGCTCACAGTGTACATACACTGACACTGCTCACAGTGTATATACACTGACACTGCTCACAGTGTATATACACTGTTATACTGCTCACAGTGTATATACACTGACACTGCTCACAGTGTACATACACTGTTATACTGCTCACAGTGTATATACACTGACACTGCTCACAGTGTACATACACTGTCACACTGCTCACAGTGTACATACACTGACACTGCTCACAGTGTATATACACTGACACTGCTCACAGTGTACATACACTGTAACTGCTCACAGTGTACATACACTGACACTGCTCACAGTGTATATACACTGACACTGCTCACAGTGTATATACACTGTTATACTGCTCACAGTGTATATACACTGACACTGCTCACAGTGTACATACACTGTTATACTGCTCACAGTGTATATACACTGACACTGCTCACAGTGTACAATGTCACTGCTCACAGTGTACATACACTGTTACACTGCTCACAGTGTACATACACTGACACTGCTCACAGTGTAATGCCTGCTACAGTGTACATACACTGTCCCCACTGCTCACAGTGTACATACACTGTCACTGCTCACAGTGTACATACACTGACACTGCTCACAGTGTACTTTACACTGTAAACTGCTCACAGTGTACATACACTGTCACTGCTCACAGTGTATTTTACACTGTTATACTGCTCACAGTGTATATACACTGTTATATGCTCCAGTGTATATACACTGACACTGCTCACAGTGTATATACACTGTTATACTGCTCACAGTGTATATACACTGACACTGCTCACAGTGTACATACACTGACACTGCTCACAGTGTCATAAACTGACACGCTACAGTGTATCACTGTCACACTGCTCACAGTGTACATACACTGTCACTGCTCACAGTGTACATACACTGTTACACTGCTCACAGTGTACATACACTGACACTGCTCACAGTGTACACACACTGTTACACTGCTCACAGTGTATATACACTGTTATACTGCTCACAGTGTACATACACTTTTAACTGCTCACAGTGTACATACACTGACACTGCTCACAGTGTACATACACTGACACTGCTCACAGTGTACACACACTGTTACACTGCTCACAGTGTATATACACTGTTATACTGCTCACAGTGTACATACACTGTAACTGCTCACAGTGTACATACACTGACACTGCTCACAGTGTACATACACTGACACTGCTCACAGTGTACACACACTGTTACACTGCTCACAGTGTATATACACTGTTATACTGCTCACAGTGTACATACACTGTAACTGCTCACAGTGTACACACACTGTTACATGCTCACAGTGTATTTTACACTGTTATACTGCTCACAGTGTACAACACATGACACTGCTCACAGTGTATATACACTGTTACACTGCTCACAGTGTACATACACTGTAACTGCTCACAGTGTACTTACACTGACACTGCTCACAGTGTACATACACTGTCATTGCTCACAGTGCATATATACTAATATACAATCCTCGTATATTCACCGGAGGGAAGGATGTCACTGCTGGCTCCACCGTGGTGCTAGCACTATTCTTGGTATCTTTGGGAAGAGGGAACTGTGGCCTGGTGGCATTGCCAGCCTCACTGCTGGCACCTGCTGCTAGCACTGCTGGGTTGTTGGCACTGCCACCACCCTGAGCACTGCCACCATCACTGGCACTCTCACTGCCAACATCACTGCGAGAGTAACACCATTTTAACCTCTACATGATGTATATGGATACAGTGGAACCTTGGTTTTCGTCCAGTCCGAATATCGTACAATTTGGATTTCGACCACTTTTTTTTGGCAAATTTTTACCCCGGATTTTGTACATCCACTCGGAAATCGTCTGTATCAGATGCGTCTGCCTGCCCGGGCTGCCGCCACTCACACGTACCTTACTCAGTTTGTCTCTGTCACTTGTTCAGTGAACAATACTCCACACATTCATCTAATGTTTTTGATACTTGTTTATTGAGTGCGACTGCGAAATAAGCCAACGTGGGGCCAAAGAAAGTTCAAAGTGCCAGCCCTTTGGTAGAGATGGTGAGAAACATGATAGAATTCAAGAAAGAGCTTGTATCAAAATACAAAAGTGGCGTATGTGTGGCCGAGGTCACCAGAATGTATGGGAAGTCCAAATTAACAATCAGTTCCATCCTGGCAAAGAAAGTAAAAATCAAGGAAGCTGATGCTGCAAAAGGGGTAAATATGCTAATGAAACAGAGATCGCAAACAATCGAAGATGTGGAGAAGTTGTTGTTGATGTGGATCAACGAAAAACAGTTAGCAGGAGATAGTGTTGTGGAGGAGATAATTTGCAAAAAGTTAAGGCAGTTGCATGCGGATCTCGTAAAGAAAATGCCTGGAACAAGTGCTGCTGTTAGCGAATTTAAGGCCAGCAAAGGCTGGTTCAACAGATTCAAGGAGAAAAGTTGCATACACAGTGTGGTAAGGCATGGCGAGGCTGCAAGTTCGGACAAACGTGCGGCCGAAGAATTTGTTGATGAATTCAAGAAGTACGTAGAGGCTGAAGGATTTGTCCCCAACAAGTGTTCAGTTGTGATGAAACAGGCCTTTTTTGGAAGAAAATGCCAAAAGAGGACCTACATCACGCAAGAGGAAAAGGCACTGCCAGGACATAAGCCTATGAAGGATAGGCTAACTCTTTTGTTCTGTGGTAACACTAGTGGGGATTTCAAAGTGAAGCATTTACTGGTGTATCACTCTGAAAATCCCTGAGTGTTAAAGAAAAACAATATCATGAAGAATAAATTGTGTGTGATGTGGAGGGCTAACAATAAGGCATGGGCCACGAGGCTAATTTTCATTGAGTGAGTCAATGATGTGTTTAGCCTGAGTGTGAAGAAATACCTCCTGGAAAATAAATTGCCACTCAAGTGCCTCCTGCTATTGGACAATGCTCCTGCTCATCCTCCAGACTTGGAAGACCAATTGTCTGAGGAGTTTAGTTTCATCACAGTGAAGTTCTTGCCCCCTAATACCACTCCAGCCCATGGACCAGCAGGGCATTTCAAACTTCGAAAAAACTCAACACCATAGTAATATTTCAAAGGTGCTCTGAAGTTCTGGAGGAATCAATGCAATATCCTCAACTGCATAAGCCTTATAGATAAGGCTTGGCAGGAAGTGACTTCCAGGATGATGAACTCTGCTTTGAGAAAATTGTGGCCAGAATGTGTCCTCGAGAAGGATTTTGAAGGGTTTGAGGCTGACCCTGATGGCCCTATGCCTACTGTGGAATGTATTTTGTCTTTGGGGAAGTCCATGAGGTTGGATGTGAGTGGCCAGGATGTGGAAGAGTTGGTGGAGGATCACAGGGAAGAGCTAACCACTGAAGAGCTACAAGACCCTCAACTGGAACAGCAACAGATCACAGCTGAGGAAATTGCTTCAGAGGAGGAGGAAGAGAGGGGAGAATGTGCCTTCTTCAGTGATTAAGGGCATTTGTGCAAAGTGGAGGAAGATGCACAATTTTCTGGAGAATTATCACCCCTAACAAAACTGTTGCAAGCTGTGTCTGCAACATTTTCCATGACAATGGCTTGTCCCATTTTAAAAGGCAAATCTTAAAGAGATGCCAGAAACAGAGCTCCCTGGACAGAATTTTGTGTGACAGGGGTCCAGTGACTCTCAAGCTAGTCCTAGTGCCAGTAAAAGACAAAGAAGGGAAGTAACCCCAGATAGGGCTTTGATACCTGAAGTCCTTTTGGAGGGGGATTCCTCTTTCAAACAATAACCTCTCCTCCCTCTCCCCGCCTCACCTTCTTCCATATGCCAACAAGAGTCTTCAATAAAGGTATGCAATAGTTATTTAAATGTTCATTTTCCATTTCATTAGTCATTTATATTTATTTCTCAGTCTTTTCTGTATGTAAAACTATAGTTATTCTCTATAAAATATATTTTTTGTTAATATTTTTGGTGTATGGAACGGATTAATTGGATTTACATTATTTCTTATGGGAAATATTATTTCGGTTTTCGTCCATTTCTGATTTTGACCAACCTTCTGGAACGGATTAAGGACGAAAACTAGGGTTCCACTGTATACCCAGCACATTAGGAGAGAGAAGCTTACAACAATGTTTCAGTCTGACGAGAAGCTTACAACAATGCTTCGATCGAACTTGAACCATTTACAAGCCACATTGACACATGAAGGTGAGGGAGCCAGTATCTATAGGTGAGGGGGACAGGGATGGGACAAAGAGAGGAAGAAAAAGTAGTAGTGGTAATGTTGATAGTGGAAGTAGTAGTGGTAATATTGGTAGTGGAAGTAGTAGTGGAAGTAGTAGTGGTAGTTAAAGAAAGTAAAAGAAGAGTTACGAATTTAGTGGCACACGGTATGAGCCATAAGTAGGGAGTAGAAAGGATGAAGGAGGCACGAGCAAAAAAAATGGGAGTGGCAAAACAAGTCAAACAAAAATAATGGAGTGGTAATTGTAGTAGGAGAAGTGGGTTAATTCTAAGGACAAGAAAAAGGAGCACTGCAGGAGAGCTACTGGCCCACAAGGGGGCAAGACCAAAAACACAGGGGAGGAAAACTGAAGGACAGAACACACTTACGCAGAAGAAAGGAAAACACAGAAAATGTTAAAAAAATAATAGGAAAGGAGTAGAGGTAGGAAGAGGAGGAGAATAAAGTTTGGAGCATTTGACAATATAATGTGAAAGGAAGGCATCTACAGAGACAAAGCCAGGACTAAGATTCATAGAAGCTGTGTATAAGTGATGCTTCAACAAGACAGTGACTGTGAAAGCTAGAAGTAGGGTAGACAGTTTTAACAGAGGACCAGTCAACAGGATGAATGTGATCTCGAACTTGACAGAAAAGAACACTATTGGTGTCGGCAAGCCTAACACTTCTTTTGTGCTCTTTAAGCCTGTCAGAAAGAGAGCGACCAGTCTCTTCAAAGTAATGGAGAGGGCAAGAGGAGCAGGAAAGAGAGTAGACACCAGGAGCATCTATAGTGGGAGGAGAAGTACGAGCTAGATTGCTGCGAAGGGTATTAGTGTGATGAAAAGTAAGTTCAATGTCTAAGGAATGGAGAGAGTTGTTGACATAAAAATGACTGGAAATGTAGGGAAGGCAGAGAACAGGAGATTTCACAGGAGCAGAGAGTTTAAGAGAGAAGAAAGTCCATTTAGCACGTGAGAAGGCAAAGTTTATGAGATGGGAAGTGTAGCCATGATGAGAGAATGAATTACATACAAAGAGTTGAAATTTCCGAGTCAAGGAACTGAGGGTCACAAATGCGAAGAACATGGAGAAAGAGAGAGATAGGAACACTTTTCTTGACAGAGGAATTATGGTAAGAAAATTAATGAATGTACATGCTACTGTGCACAGGCTTGTGATAAATTTGATGGAAAGAGCAAGATTGTTAAGAGCACTGAGAAATGGTTGGAAGAGACTAGAGTCATGAGGCCAATCAATCAATCAATCAATCAAGTTTATTCTCTATAAGGATTACAATGCAGGGTTTTCAGATTTTGGATATTGTGTGGTCTACATGTTTTAAAATACTAATTACAGAGGGGGCCACTAGGGCACCTAGCATGGCTAGGCATTTCGGGCAGACTTAGATTAATTCTAAACTTTAAATTATTACAGATTATGGTATTAAGGCTAAGTGACTACAATATAGTTTGTGAGTTTAGCAATGTGAATGCTTTTGTTTTGGCACAATACATAGTGTCTATATTGGAGTATCATAGGCAAGCTTATGAATAGTTAGGGCTCATTATTTTAAGATTAAGATTCGTATTTCTGTGTTTATAGTCGATGGGTGAATGAGTGTAAGTGTGAACCACCAAGTGGTTTACATGTACTTAGTTGATGGGGTGTATCAGGGAGATAAGATGTTTTCTAACTGTAGTTTTGAAGGTGATGAATGTGTCTGCAGTTCTAGAGTTCTCAGGAAGGGTGTTCCAGATTTTAGGTCCTTTGACACACATTGAATTTTTGTAAAGGTTTAGTCGAACACGGGGAATGTCATAGAGATGTTTGTGTCTTGTGTTATGCCTGTGGGTCCTGTCACAACTATCAAGAAAGCATTTTAGGTCAAGGTTAATATTGGAATTTAAGGTCCTGTAGATGTAGATTGCACAGTAGTAAGTGTGGATGTTCTGAGATCTGTGAAGAGTGGGGGGGGGGGGGGTTGCCAGGGATGGGAGAGCAAAGATATCATCTACATAGCAAAGCCAGAGGGAAGGTCACAACACCAATACTAGGAAAAAGAACAGTCTCAAAGTATTCCCTATAAAGATTAGCAATAACAGGGGAGAGAGGAGAGCCCATAGTGATGCCAAAGCTTTGAAAATCAAATTTGCCTTGAAAGGAAACAGGAGTTAGAACCTACACAAAGGCAAATAAGATCAAGAAAGACATCAATAGGTATAGAGAGATGAAGTAACCCTTCAGTGGCCTTCACTCTGAGAAAATTAGATCATCATCAAGAGGAACACTGGTGAAGAGGGACTCAACGTCAAGTCGGGAGAGGACAAACACACACAGTGAAGTCTTGAGAGCAATGAAAGTGAGCAGCAGAAAAAATACCAAGGGAGTGAGAGTTTTGGCCAGCCAAGAGGCAAGAGAATAAGAGACAGAACCTCTGGAGGATATGACGGCCCAAGTTGGACTGAAACACTGTGGTAAGTTTCTCTCTCCTATGTGCGGCTTATTTGTGTACTCTTCCAGTCATGGTATTGTGCCTTTTTATTCTTTAAAAAAATGATAATTTTCTCTAAAAAAAGTATAATTTTAACTACATAATATAAAGTTTTATCTACATAATGTATAATTTGATGTACATAATGTATAATTTTAATTAAAAATGTATAATTTTATCTAAAAAAATGTATATAAAATACATATAATTTTATCTAAACAATGTATACTTTCATGTACATAATGTATAACTGTATCTACACAACGTATAATCTTATCTATAGAGTACAGCATGGTGCCAGTTAGTGATAGTTAGAATAATGAGATTTTTCCTCTCAGACTCTACAACTCTTGCACAACAAAATAACACCTTCAATGCAACCATTGCAACATTCAAGACCTGCTGAAAAAAAACTTTAGCAAACTGAGAAAAACTTTTGCAATTGCTAAAACTGCAGGTAATGATGCAATTTTCCTAACTGGTTTCTGTAAAAATTATTATGTCAAAGATGCAATGGTAAATATTGACAATACTGGGTAATAAATACAGGAAGGCCTCCACTTTACAGAACTTCACTTTACAGTGCTTGACAGTGCTCCATTGTACAGTGCTTTGCTTGACAGTGCTCCATTATACAGTGCTTTGCTTTACAGCACTTCACTTTAATGTAGTGTGTGCTGTATAAGTATTTTATAGGCCTAGCTCTACTGCCTGTTTAACCCTTTGGGTGTCGAGACTCCTGCTCGCAAACTTGCCTCAGTGTTGAAGAATTTAAAAAAAAAAAAATTTTTTTCTTATGAAATGATAGAGAATCTTTTTCTGAATGTAATGAAACCAAACGTTCGAATTTTTATAAAAAACTTATGGAATTACGCTCTCGCGAAGTTAGCGGTCTCAACAATATGCACGCATTGGCGATTTTACCCACTTTACGCCCTATTTTGGGCCAATTCCTTTGTTCCACTCAACCAAACTCAGTTATTTCACTAGAGCTCTTTTTATTCTATCGAGTGAGTACAAGAAACTGCCCATTTACCTATCTCAACTACACAAAAAAGTGATCAGAAATTACTAATTTGACCAATTTCACACAAAATTCAAGAAAGGCCAATTTAAAAATAGGGGCCAGAATAAACAACGCAGACATTCCTGGCACTAAAATAACGTAACATTTTCTCTGTTCATTAATCACGTCTCCTGCCCCTCTTATATTACCCTTTTTTTCAGTTTGAATTTTTTACTGTTATTCAGACTATTGCATAATTGTAATAATTGTATAAATAATATCAGTGCATTCGTGAATGCATATCATACTGACCAGTTGACTTATACTGGACACGTGACATGATTTGTTTACTTTTGAATATCGTCAAAATTATACATTTCCGCTACTTTAAGCTCAATTTCAGGCTACTTTTCTTTTGTAAACCATTCAAAATCACCTCTATTTCTGTGATACATCTTCCATTCTATTAAATGAGACCAAGAAAACGAGAATACAACCATAAATTTTATACGAAAATACACCCCAAAATCGCTGTTTTAAACCAAAAACACGATCACAGTTTTTTTTCTCATGTACTGCTTGCTACAGGAGGTTTTTTTTATACTGCACACCCTGACCATGCAGACCCATTCTCTCATATGTAGGCCTACCAGCTTTCTTCCACAAGATTTGAAGCCGCTAAAATTTTGGCGTAGTATTACGAGACCGACACTGGCTTCAAAGCCGTAATATTATGGCACCAACACAGAAGGGGTTAAGTGAGCAATATATTTATTGTAGGAATTCTGAAATAATAAAGAATGAGTATAAATGAACACTGCTGTATTAGCAAAATGCCATAAAGTGAAGCGCTGTAAAACAGGGCCCTCCTGTAATCTTAACTTCGAACAGTGTGATCCTTCATGGAACCCATTACTGCCACTAACTGAGGCCTGCCTATATTTTGCCCTGAAAGGAAGGTGGCAGTGCTGCCTGAGTGCAAAACAATGACCAGCCTTCAAATAAGTTACTTACAAGGGTAGAGGTCAGCTAACCTGTGAGTGGTAGTGGTGGTGTAGGGTGCTGGAGGCAGGAGAGAAGGCCGGCTTGGCACTGTCGTTGATGAGTGCCACTGTGGTGGATTCTGTGGCCCCTTCGACTGAAAGATTGATTGATCTGACTGAATGCATAAGAATGATATACAAACATCCTCACTCATCCTTCAGAGTACAGGCACTGTACTACCCACTTCCAGAACTGTAACATCCTCACTCATCCTTCAGAGTACAGGCACTGTACTTTCCACTTCCAGAACTGTAACATCCTCACTCATTCTTCAGAGTACAGGCACTGTACTTTCCACTTTCAGAACTGTAACATTCATATCCCTCTTTCAGAGTATATGCACTGTACAGTAGGACTCCTGTATCTGCAGTTTCAGTCATTCACTGGTGGCAGTTCGTCAAAATCTAAGAGAAGCTGTGAAGTAGTTCCTATCAGTGAAAAAGTGATAATTTTCCACTTATTGTGCATAATTAATCAATTAAACTTTGTCATAGGTATTTATGTAAACAAAAAAAATGACATGCATAGGGTTCGCCACTATCTGCATTTTCTGATATCCACGGTAGCTCTTGGAATGTATCCCCTGCAGATACTGGGGGACTACTGTACTGCGCACCTCCAGGACTCAAATCCGGCCAACCAGTTTCCCTGAATCCCTTCAAAGATGTTACCTTGCTCGCACTCCAACAGCTTGTCAAGTCAAAATGATCACTCACCTCCCCTAAAACATCTTCAATCAAGCTTTTTTAGGCTTTTGAACACACCAGCTGATTCCCAGTGAGGCAGTCACACACAAAAGAAGAAATAACATTGACCATCAATCAGCCAATATAGCTTACCTTCGATAGCGAAGAGCTAGAGGACGTTTGACTTTCTAACAATTTACGGAGGTTATTAGTGAGATGACCAGGAAGTGGTGCTGGTCCACGACCAGAGGCATCGGTTGGTGGTCCACTGTGTGGAGGAAGTGGTGCTGGTCCACGAGAGGAGACATCAGTTGGTGGTGGTCCACTGTGTGGAGGAAGTGGTGCAGGTCCACGACCAGAGGCATCAGTTGGTGGTCCACTGTGTGGAGGAACTGGGGCTGGTCCACGACCAGAGGCATCAGCTGGTGGTGGTCCACTATGTGATTGAACTGGCACTGGTCCACGACTATTAGTGTCAGTTGATGGTGGTCCATGAGGTCCAGGAAATATTGGTCCACGACCAGGACCATCTGCTGATGGCAATCCATTATGTGGTGGGAGTGGCACTGGTCCACGACTAGGGCCATCTGTTGGCACTGGTCCACGAGGTCCAGGAAACAGTGCATGTCCACGTCCTGGACCATCTGCTGGCAGTGGTCCACGAGGTCCAGAAAATGGAGACGGTCCACGAGGTCCAGGAATTGGCACTGGTCCACGACCAGTACCATCTAGTGGTGGTCCATGGGGTCCAGGAACTGGTGCTGGTCCATGGGATCCAGGAACTGGTACTGGTCCACGAGGCCCAGGAACTGGTGCTGGTCCACGAGGTCCAGGAACTGGTGCTGGTCCACGAGGTCCAGGAACTGGTGCTGGTCCACGGGGTCCAAGAACTGGTGCTGGGCCACGGGGTCCAGGAACTGGTGCTGGTCCACGACCAGGACTATCTGATGGCAATGGTCCACGAGGTCCAGCAGATGGTGCAGATCCACGAGGTCCACGTAGACGGACGTGGCCATCTGGTGATGATGGGTCACGAGGCCCAGGAAACAGCACTGGTCCACGTCCAGAACCATCTTGAGATGGTCCACGAGGCCCAGAAACTGGCACTGGTCCACGCAGCAAAGGAAATAGTGGCGGTCCATGGCCACCATCCCCTACTGACAGACCGTGAGCTCCACGACCAGGAACCGCCACAGGTCCCCGACCACCATGAATGGCACCTCTCCCAATTGCCAAGTGTGGCTTCGGAGGCACAGTACCAGGCAAACCAAAACCCGACGACTTATTAGGCCCGGGAAACCGGTTTCGAGAAATTTGGGGTGAGGATGAAGGAGCCTTCAGGGGCTGAGGATACATCGGGGAGCTGGTAACAGGATTGGGTGGCAGGTAAATATCCTCGTCATTGCCTAGAAAAACAATTTCTAGTCCATAACTGAGTTAGGAAATATTTAATCTATGTCAAGCCAATAATAATAACAATCATTATAATAATAAGACTAGATTTATGGATGGGGCTGTAAGAGAAGTGAATGCTGAGCTTGTTGGAGAGAGTTGAGGGTTGAAAGATGAAGAATCTAATACAAATTGACAGTTGTCACAGTTGATGTTTGCTGATGACACAGTTATTGTGGCAGAATCTGAAGCTGCCAAGGTTGATGGGCGAATTTGGGAGGTATGTAGAAGGAAACTGGAAGGAAATGTTGAAATGAACAAGGTTCACAAGATCATAACAGTTGCAAACAAATCAGGAAACGGGTGATGGATTTAAACTCACAGACCTATGTGCTAACTAATTATTTGGCCCAGTGGTTAGCACAATGGCCTGTGAATTTTAGGACTCACTGCCGCAGGTTCAAGTCCCACCCGTTCCCCGATTTTAAAGAACAAGGTGATATGAGGAACAATAAATGTAGGAAATGAAAGACTAGATAACAGATTGGAGGGAGGAAGCGAATGTGTTGAGATATTTGTGAGTGAACTAGTCAGTGGATAGTTGTATGGTAGATGAGGTTACCCACAGAATTGATGATGGGTAGAAACCAAGAATTTTATCCATGGAGGCAAAAAAAGGGGAATGAATGAGAGGTTTATGGTACAAACACTGTTATATGAGTGTGAATTATGGGTTTTAAATATTGCAGCAAGGAGGAGGCTGGAGGCAGTGGAAGTGATGTTTCAGAGGGCAATGTGTGGTGTGAATATTATACAGAGAACTTCAAGTTAGGTTATTAGAAGGAGGAGTGGGGTTACTAAAAGTATTATCCAGAGTGCTGAGGAAAGGGTGTTCAGGTGGTCTGGACATTTAGAGATGATGGAACAAAATAGGATGACTTGAAGGATGTATAAATCTTGGGTGGATTTATCACCAAGGGTGTTGTGAGACAGTGAAGGAAACACACTGACCATCACTCAGTCAGTAACTGTTTAACTAAAAAATAATAGGTATATTACCTTCAGAATGATCACCAGAGGTCTGAAATAAAGAAAAACAACATATTAATACTATAACACCATATTAATACTATAATCCTATACTAACATTAACTAACACCATATTAACACTTTCACTGTCCGAAGCCCCAAAATAAAAAGTGCTCTCAGTGATATGGCAGAGAATATTTTTCTGTACATAATGACACCAAAAATGTCAAATTTGATGGAAAACTTACAGAATTACGCAGGTGTAAATTTAGCGGTCTGTGCGCAAACCATGCACTGGCGATCATGCTGATTTTGAGTCCTATTTTAAGTCAATTCCAAAGCTTCATTTGACTATTTCACTAATATGCCTTCTATTGTATTGACTGAGCACAAGAAACCTTCCCTTTCAACTATTACAACTATCCTATGAGGTGCACAAATACTTTGGCCAATTTTATGCAAAATTCAGAAAATTCCAAATTAAAAAGTGCAAAATAAATAGTGCAGATAATTTCTGGCACTAAAATAACATTTGCTCTCTTCACTAACCATGTCCAAAAGCCTCTCCTCTACTACACTTGCCTTCCACTTTGAATTCATCACACACAAAAAATTGAAGACTTAATGTAGTTCTCGCATAATAAAATATAACCAGGAATGATTGGTTGTGATTTACAGTGTCCTAATAATTGAATCAGATCTATTAAAAACCCACAAAACAGACCATAGAGTGTTGGGAGCCTAGTCCTCAGGAATATCAGCATCTATTTTCAATACTTTGAGCCCAGTTTCGAGTTACGTCTGGTTCAGAAGCCAACCAAAATCATCCTTATTTCATTAGTGTATCTTCCATTCAATCAATTAATATCAAGAAACAGCCAATAAAAACCATAAAACCCATTCTAGAAAACCCCCTGAGAGTCACTATTTCAAACCAAACACAAGGTCACAGTTTTGATTTTCCCATCATGCACCACAAGAGGGCGGGATTTTTTTTTACACTGAGAACACTCACCACACAGACCCAGTCTCTCATATTTAGGACAAAATTTACCATTCAGATTATCTAGGTTAACTGAGCTCATGATGTACATCTACATGAGGGATCCTGATATCACTAATACAGATCTATATCAGGGACCCTGATATCAATAATACAGATCTACACCAGGGACCCTGACATCAATAACACAGATCTATATGAGGTGAGGAACCTTAACATCAATAACACAGATCTACATAACGGACCCTGACATCAGTAACACAGATCTACATCAGGAACACTGATATCAATAATGCAAATATATATAAGGGACCCTGACATCAATAATACAAATATATATAAGAGACTCTGACATCAAAAATACAGATCTACATGAGAGACCCTGACATCAATAACAAAGATCTACATGAGGGACCTTGACATCAACAACACAGATCTACATGAGGAACCCTGACATCAATAATGTAGATCTACATGAGGGGCCCTGACACCAATAACACAGATGTACATGAAGGACACTGACATCAATAACACAGACCGACATGAGGAACCCTGATATCAATAACACAGATTTACATGATGGACCCTGACATCAATGACACAGATCTACATAAGAGACCCTGACATCAATAACAGATCTATGTGAGGGACCCTGACATCAATAACAGATTTACATGAGGGACCCTGACATCAGTAACAGATCTATGTGAGGGACCCTGACATCAATAACAGATCTATGTGAGGGACCCTGACATCAGTAACACAGATCTATGTGAGGGACCCAGACATTAATAACAGATCTACATGATGGACCTTGACATCAATAACAGATCTATGAGAGGGACCCTGACATCAATAACAGATTTATGTGAGGGACCCTGACATCAATAACAGATCTATGTGAGGGACCCTGACATCAATAACAGATCTACATGAGGGACCCTGACATCAATAACAGATCTATATGAAGGACCCTGACATCAATAACAGATCTATGCGAGGGCCTTTGACATCAATAACAGATCTACATGAGGGGCCCTGACATCAATAACAGATCTGTGTGAGGGACTCTGACATCAATAACAGATCCACATGAGGGACCCTGACATCAATAACATCTACGTGAGGGACCCTGACATCAATAACAGATCTACATGAGGGACCCTGACATCAATAACAGATCTACATGAGGGACCCTGACATCAATAACAGATCTATATGAAGGACCCTGACATCAATAACAGATCTATGCGAGGGCCTCTGACATCAATAACAGATCTACATGAGGGGCCCTGACATCAATAACAGATCTGTGTGAGGGACTCTGACATCAATAACAGATCCACATGAGGGACCCTGACATCAATAACAGATCTACGTGAGGGACCCTGACATCAATAACAGATCTACGTAAGGGACCTTGACATCAATAACAGATCTATGAGAGGGACCCTGACATCAATAACAGATTTATGTGAGGGACCCTGACATCAATAACAGATCTATGTGAGGGACCCTGACATCAATAACAGATCTACATGAGGGACCCTGACACATCAACTAACAATCTATATAGAGGACCCTGCATCAATAACAGATCTATGCGAGGGCCTCTGACATCAATAACAGATCTACATGAGGGGCCCTGACATCAATAACAGATCTGTGAGGGACTCTGACATCAATAACAGATCCACATGAGGGACCCTGACATCAATAACAGATCTACGTGAGGGACCCTGACATCAATAACAGATCTACATGAGGGACCCTGACATCAATAACAGATCTACATGAGGGACCCTGACATCAATAACAGATCTATATGAAGGACCCTGACATCAATAACAGATCTATGCGAGGGCCTCTGACATCAATAACAGATCTACATGAGGGGCCCTGACATCAATAACAGATCTGTGTGAGGGACTCTGACATCAATAACAGATCCACATGAGGGACCCTGACATCAATAACAGATCTACGTGAGGGACCCTGACATCAATAACAGATCTACGTAAGGGACCCTGACATCAATAACATATCTACATGAGGGACCTTGACATCAATAACAGATCTACAAGAGGGACCCTGACATCAATAACAGACCTACGTGAGGGACCCTGACATCAATAACAGATCTACATGAGGGACCCTGACATCAATAACAGATCTACGTGAGGGACCCTGACATCAATAACTGATCTACGTGAGGGACCCTGGCATCAATAACAGATCTACGTGAGGGACCCTGACATCAATAACAGATCTATGTGAGGGACCCTGACATCAATAACAGATCTACGTGAGGGACCCTGACATCAGTAACAGATCTACAAGAGGGACCCTGACATCAATAACAGATCTACGTGAGGGACCCTGACATCAATAACATATCTACAAGAGGGACCCTGACATCAATAACAGATCTACATGAGGGACCCTGACATCAATAACAGATCTACGTGAGGGACCCTGACATCAATAACAGATCTACATGAGGGACCCTGACATCAATAACAGATCTACGTGAGGGACCCTGACATCAATAACAGATCTATGTGAGGGACCCTGACATCAATAACAGATCTACGTGAGGGACCCTGACATCAGTAACAGATCTACAAGAGGGACCCTGACATCAATAACAGATCTACGTGAGGGACCCTGACATCAATAACAGATCTACAAGAGGGACCCTGACATCAATAACAGATCTACGTGAGGGACCCTGACATTCACATATAACAGATCTACGTGAGGGACCCTGACATCAATAACAGATCTACGTGAGGGACCCTGACATCAGTAACAGATCATAACAAGAGAGGACCCTGACATCAATAACAGATCTACAAGAGGGACCCTGGCATCAATAACAGATCTACGTGAGGGACCCTGACATCAATAACAGATCTACGTGAGGGACCCTGACATCAGTAACAGATCTACAAGAGGGACCCTGACATCAATAACAGATCTACGTGAGGGACCCTGACATCAATAACAGATCTACATGAGGGACCCTGACATCAATAACAGATCTACATGAGGGACCCTGACATCAATAACAGATCTACATGAGGGACCCTGACATCAATAACAGATCTATGTGAGGGACCCTGACATCAATAACAGATCTACGTGAGGGACCCTGACATCAGTAACAGATCTACAAGAGGGACCCTGACATCAATAACAGATCTACAAGAGGGACCCTGGCATCAATAACAGATCTACATGAGGGACCCTGACATCAATAACAATCTACAAGAGGCAGAGTAAACATTAGATAAACTCCACATTTCATAATATAAACACTATATTAAGTCTATATTAACATTAATACTATATAACATCAATAATAATTACTCACCTCCTCCTCCAGAGGTGTACTAGAGAAGTTGTGATCATCATCATTGTCGAAGTCATCGTCACTGAAGTCGGAGAAATCATCATTGTGATCGTCCTGAGCGTCATCTGGTGGCGATGTTTTCTTCCAGCTGCCATGTGATGCGCTGCCCACCGAGTGAATGTTGCTGTTGAAACACAGCTGTGATTAACTGAGTTCTTCTCAGAGTGTGATCTGAGAAAGTTATCCCAGTGTGTACATAACACCAGTCCCCTGTATCCCAGTGGTACATAACACCAGTCCCCTGTATCCCAGTGGTACATAACACCAGTCCCCTGTATCCCAGTGTTACATAACACCAGTCCCCTGTATCCCAGTGGTACATAACACCAGTCCCTGTATCCCAGTGGTACATAACACCAGTCCCCTGTATCCCAGTGCTACATAACACAGTCCCCTGTATCCCAGTGTTACATAACACCAGTCCCATGTATCCCAGTGGTTACAAACACCATCCCCTGTATCCCAGTGTACATAACACAACCACCAGTTACACTCCCTGTACCCCAGTGGTACATAACACCAGTCCCCTGTATCCCAGTCGTACATAACACCAGTCCCCTGTATCCCAGTGGCACATAACACCAGTCCCCTGTATCCCAGTGTTACATAACACCAGTCCCCTGTATCCCAGTGGTACAAAACACCATCCCCTGTATCCCAGTGGTACATAACACCAGTCCCCTGTATCCCAGTGGCACATAACACCAGTCCCCTGTATCCCAGTGGTACATAACACCAGTCCCCTGTATCCCAGTGGTACATAACGCCAGTCCCCTGTATCCCAGTGTTACGTAACACAAGTCCCCTGTATCCCAGTGGTACATAACACCAGTCCCCTGTATCCCAGTGGTACATAACACCAGTCCCCTGTATCCCAGTGGTACATAACACCAGTCCCTTGTATCCCAGTGGTACATAACACCAGTCCCCTGTATACCAGTGGTACATAACACCAGTCCCCTGTATCCCAGTGGTACATAACACCAGTCCCCTGTATCCCAGTGGTACATAATACCAGTCCCCTGTATCCCTAGAAAATGCCGTGCCCATATGACAACAGGAAAATGCAAAATCCCTTGCTGAAAGCTTTTTCACCCTGAAATGTGTCCCTCTTCAGTACAGGAAAGACAGTGCTATAACATAAATTGCCAGGCACACCATCTAAAGGGGACAAAAAGATACAAAACAGTTAGACCATGTTAAAACCTGGGTAGCCACAGCCACTCAAGAGGGAGAGGTTTCTTAGTACCAGGAAGGAAAAAAAAAACTGGCAGGAAATGGTAGAAATCGTACAGCACATCCAGTCATTTCTGGAGTGGAATCACAGTCGATGGTCTCCACTCCAAACCAACAGATAGAGATATTAGTGCCGGTACCAACTGATACAGATATTAGTGCCAGTACCACCAATACCACCAATCTGACGACATTTTTCTTTGCAAATATACAGGGTCTAAAGTCAGCAACGAACAACAAAATACCTTTCATTTGTAGACTGCTTGCAGAGGCAAATGCAATGTTCACGGCTTTCACAGAGACCCACACAAAGGATCACTTGGACAACGAAATGTGGATCCCAGGTTATAACCTATACAGATGTGACAGAGTGAACAGGCAAAAGGGGGGGGAGGGGGTTGGCCTGTATATCGCAGAGTCACTTATTTGCACAGAACTGCTAAATGCTTCAAATGATGTAGTGGAAGTTTTAGCAGTAAAGATCGAGAACCAAAATCTTGTCATTGTGGTAGTCTACAAGCCTCCGGATGCAACATCCCAGCAATTCCAGGAACAGCTGTTGAAAATTGACCACTGTCTGGAAAATCTTCCAGCTCCTGCCCCCAACATCTTGCTCCTGGGGGATTTCAACTTAAGGCACCTAAAATGGAGGAATATAGCAAATAATGTTGTTGCAGTGATAACACCAGGAGGCAGCTCAGACGAGAACTCACTCACACACAAGCTTTTAAATCTACACAAAATTCAACTTAAACCAGCAAATAATAGAACCTACTAGACTGGAGAATACACTAGACCTCATCTTCACTAACAATGATGATCTGATACGAAATGTCACCATATAAAAAACAATATACTCAGATCGCAACATAATCGAGGTTCAGACATGTATGCATGGAGCCCCAGACCGACAAAATGAGATTAGTCACGAGGGAGCCTTCACCAAATTCAACTTCAATAACAAGAACATAAAGTGGGACCAAGTAAACCAAGTCCTAAATGATATAAGCTGGGAAGATAGACTAAGCAACACAGACCCCAACGTATGCCTAGAACAGATTAACTTGGTGGCACTCGATGTATGCTCAAGGCTTATTCCTTTAAGAAAAAGGAGGAGTAGATGTAAAATAGAAAGAGACAGGCGCTCCCTTTACAGGCGACGGAAAAGAATAACAGAGCGGCTAAAAGAGGCCAATATATCTGAAATGCGTAGGGAGACACTGGTCAGAGAAATAGCAAACATCGAACTTAAGGTAAAGGAATCTTATAGGAGTCAGGAATTGCGGGAAGAACTAAAAGCCGTAAATGAAATCGAAAGAAACCAAAAGTATTTCTTTTCTTATGCCAAATCAAAGTCGAGAACAACATCCAGTACTGGGCCCCTACTTAAACAATATGGGTCCTACACAGATGACAACAAGGAAATGAGTGAGCTACTCAAGTCCCAATATGACTCAGTTTTTAGCAAGCCACTAACCAGACTGAGAGTCGAAGATCTAAGTTAATTTTTTATGAGAGCCACAGAATTTGGTAAACACAAGCCTATCTGACGTTATCCTGACGCCAAATAACTTCGATCAGGCGATAAATGACATGCCCATGCACTCTGCCCCAGGGCCAGACACATGGAACTCCGTGTTCATCAAGGACTGCAAGAAGCCCCTATCACGTGCTTTTACCATCCTATGGAGAGGGAGCATGGACACTGGGGTCATCCCACAGTTACTAAAAACAACAGACATAGCCCCACTCCACAAAGTGGGCAGTAAAGCAATAGCAAAGAACTACAGACCGATAGCACTAACATCCCATATAAAAAAAATCTTTGAAAGGGTCCTAAGAAGCAAGATCGCCACCCATTTAGATATCCATCAATTACACAACCCAGGGCAACATGGGTTTAGAGCAGGTCGCTCCTGTCTGTCCCAACTACTGGATCACTACGACAAGGTCCTAGATGCACTAGAAGACAAAAAGAATGCAGATGTAATATACACAGACTTTGCAAAAGCCTTCAACAAGTGTGACCATGGCGTAATAGCGCACAAAATGCGTGCTAAAGGAGCAACAGGAAAAGTTGGTAGATGGATCTATAACTTCCTCACAAACAGAACACAAAGAGTAGTAGTCAACAGGGGTTAAAGTTTGAGGCGGCTACGGTGAAAAGCTCTGTTCCACAAGGCACGTACTCGCTCCCACCCTTTTTTCCTCATCCTCATATCTGACATAGACAAGGATGTCAGCCACAGCACCGTGTTTCCTTTCAGATGACACCCGAATCTGCATGACAGTGTCTTCCATTGCAGACACTGCAAGGCTCCAGGCGAACATCCCAAACCCAAATCTTTCAATGGGCTGCAGAAAACAATATGAAGTTCAACGATGAGAAATTTCAATTACTCAGATATGGTAAACATGAGGAAATTAAATTTTTCATCAAGTACAAAACAAATTCTGGCCACAAAATAGAGCGAAACACCAACGTCAAAGACCTGGGAGTGATCATGTCGGAGGATCTCACCTTCAAGGACCATAACATTGTATAATCGCATCTGCTAGAAAAATGACAGGATGGATAATGAGAACCTTCAAAACAAGGATGCCAAGCCCATGATGACATCCCTTTAGGTCGCTTGTTTATCTAGGCTGGAATATTGCTGCACACTAACAGCACCTTTCAAGGCAGGTGAAATTGCTGACCTAGAAAATATACAGAGAACCCTTCAGGGCGCATAACGGAGATAAAAAAACCTCAATTACTGGGAGCGCTTGAAGTTCCTGAACCTGTACTCCCTGGAAGCAGGCGAAGAGAGATACATGATTATATACACCTGGAAAATCCTAGAGGGACTAAATACCGAATTGCACACAAAATCACTCCACACAAAAGCAAAAGACTTGGCAGACGATGCCCCCCCCAAAATAAAAAGCAGGGGTCACTAGCACTTTAAAGAGACAAACAAAAAAGTGTCAGTGGCCAAAGACTGTTAAAGCCTCCCGCTAAATAAGGGGGATTACCAATAGACCCTAGCTGTTTTCAAGCGGGAAACTGGCGGACCTAAAGTCGGTACCTGACCAACCGGGCTGGGCTTGAAGGGGATTGCTGAACCCGCAGTAAACGCTGGTTGATCACAGATCCCCCAGAGACCCGGTCACGACCGGGGCGGGGGTTGACCCCCCGGAACTCTCTCCAGGTAAACTCCGGTCCCTTGTATTCCAGTGGTACAAAACACCAGTCCCTGTATTCCAGTGTTACATAACACCAGTCTCTTGTATCCCGTGGACAAAACACCAGCCCCCTTGATCCCAGGGGGAAAAAAACCCCAGTCCCCGTACCCCAGTGGTTCCCAAAACCCCCAGTCTCCGTATCTAGTGGAACAAAAAAAACCGTCCCCTGTTTTCCCAGGGGTTTCCCAAAAAACCAGTCTCCTGTACCCCCAGGGGTAAAAAAACACTAGTTCCTTTTATCCAGTGGTACAAAAACCAGTCTCCTGTACCCCAGGGGTAAAAAACCCTGTCTCCTGTTCCCAGGGGCACAAAACCCCATTTCCCCTTTTACCCCAGTGGACAGAACACCAGTCTCCTTTTCCCCAGTGGTACAAAACCCCAAATTTCCTGTTTTTCCCAGGGGCAAAAAAAACACCAGTCTCCTGTATCCCAGTGGTAAAAAACCCCCACCAGTTCCTGTTCCAAGGGGTAAAAAACACCAGTCTCCTGTATCCCAGTGGTAAAAAAAACCACTGTCTTCTGTATCCCAGTGGCACAAAAAAACAGTCCCCCGGGTATCCCAGTGGTACAAAACCCAGTCCCCTGTTTTCAGATGATCCCGGGACCACATAAAAACCCAATAATTCAAATATCTCAAACAAACTCTCTCCTTTCCCTTTT